TTATGTGGTTTAAGGTGGGCTTATGAAGGGGGTTTTACATAAGGCCTTAAACTATATGCACCTGGTGTGTAAGCTATTATGGTTGGGAACAGCTACAACTACCAGTTAAGGGGTGGAACATGCTGAAAAGGGTAACTACAGGGGTTTATACCTATAGAAAAGGGTTCCAAACTATTTTTCCATTTCTAACTTGGTTTAAGTTAGCTTTACATGGTAAAATATAGTTTGATTCAATTGTCTGTTGTCTTTTAGACGAACGACTTGAGATTGGGTGTTTGGTTTCCCCATAAATGTTTTTGGAAGTCTATGGCGAGACTTATCAAAAAGAATTAGCTATCCTCCCGAATAGAATTGTTCGAGTAGGTTCGGCTTAAGCGTTGTGAGATCAATGTAGATTATGGTACTTAAGGTAGCAATAATATACATCGACTCCGCAAAAATTGCAATTTAACGAATGAACTACATGTTGGCATGGTTAAAGGCCTCTTAGTCTCTAACTTAACTACACAACAAAATTCATTCTTGCCTGGGGTGTTCAAAAACAATACCAAAAACCAATTAAACGATGTCTCAACATCGACAAAAACAGTGACTAAGCAACCAGTAAAACAACGTTTCAACATTGACAAAAGTAGTGATTAAGCAACTAGAAAACGACGTTTCGGTGCGCCACTCACTCTGAATGTCAGATTTGCTCACGTTATCGCGTCTGGTAGCATTATCCTAACTGGCGTCACCCCACTTCGGTCATGGGAGACCGCGAACACGGGTGAGGACGTCGCTCCATGAGCTAAAGTTAGGCTGTCCTTGAGTAGTTTTAACTGTTTGCGCAGCTGAAAGAGGACTTTTAGGTCTGGATCGGAATCCAGTTTGACTTTCGATGGAGTGTATTTGTCTGGGTCAGTCAGATACAGTATCATCGATTTAATTGCAGGATCATCCAACTTCTGAAGTTGGAGGATGTCTGGGTCAGTTGACAATGACTTTTCATATTTTAGAAGAACTTGGCGAGGTTTGTCTCTTTCTTCATCAGATGTCAGAGCGTCGGCTTGAGCGACCACCTGTTCAATCTGTGATGAGACTGATGAGGGTTCTTGCTCCTTGGGGAGCTCCAACGAATCCTTTTCTGAGTCGTCGGACCTGTCTATGGG